CAGTAATCATGGTCCAAGTTACTGACAGTAATCATGGTCCAAATTACTGACAGTAATCAAGGTCCAAGTTACTGACAGTAATCAAGGGTCAAGTTACTGACAGTAATCATGGTCTAAATTACTGACAGTAATCATGGTCCACGTTACTGACAGTTATCATGGTCCACGTTACTGACAGTAATCAAGGGTCAAGTTACTGACAGTAATCATGGTCTAAATTACTGACAGTAATCATGGTCCACGTTACTGACAGTTATCATGGTCCACGTTACTGACAGTAATCATGGTCCACGTTACTGACAGTAATCATGGTTCACTGACCACTGACTGGAACAACCACCGGCCCGGAGGGCTCAGCACGCAGTCCTACACAGCCGTCAAGGACTGACGCACACACACGGAGCCACCGTATACAGTGAAACCCTTATAATCCGGACTGTGCAGTTCTCAGCGACATTGTGTGGATTATCGAACCGGATGAATGAATCACTGTATGGAGTAATGTCCCTTTATGTCTGTAGACCTTCCCGACAGGTATCTTCCCGAAGCCGCGATTTCCTGATTAACGGTCTTTTGTTGCACGGATGTTCCATGCTAGATACACTCTAGACGCTTGATACTTCATGCGAAGGAATACCCCTTACCCTTTAAAACCACTCCCGCTCGATCACAATACGCATGATCTCGCTGACTTGTTGTCTGGTTGTGTGCATACACATCCAGTCTGTACACACTCCTGATCGAGAGATGATGTCGCAGGTTTTGAAGTATTTGGTAATGTCAGTTACCTGTTTTAATGCTGTTAGACTATTTTACACTCTTGGTAAACATAAAAACTTCTCTAAGCCACGTTTACAGAAGCTGTGTAAATACCTTAATAATTACTTTCAAAATAGCCCCGACCAGCCAAGAGGTTGTCGAGCCGGTGGGTGTGATGCAAGGTGCGCGTCTAGGGCAAGCGCCTTGTCGATGTTTGTTCACAGACACAAACGCGCGCTACCTCGGATATGTTATGCAGCGTGTTCAAGTGTTGTTACAAATGTTTTAAAAAATTACGTAAACGGAAAGGTTAACACAGTTAGCTGAGACGTAGATGCTTAGATTTCAGTTGAGAGAAACGAACTTGGTAAATATGTTCGTTCAATGACTGCTTCCTAATTTTCAAATGTGGTACAAGGACTGCTTCCTATTTTCTAAATGTGGTACACGGAGTGCTTCCTATTTTCAAATGTGGTACAAGGACTGCTTCCTATTTTTTAAATGTGGTACAAAGACTACTTCCTATTTTCTAAATGTGGTACAATGACTGCTTCCTATTTTCAAATGTGGTACAAGGACTGCTTCCTATTTTCTAAATGTGGTACAAGGACTGCTTCCTATTTTCGAATGTGGTACAAGGACTGTTTCCTATTTCTTAAATGTGGTACAAGGACTGCTTCCTATTTTGTAAATGTGGTACAAGGACTGCTTCCTATTTTAACAAATGAATTACATGTTTTTTCCTGATTCTGACGTTCTGTATAATCCAAAGTTTGTTTTGTGTAGGGTTGTAGTGTATGTGTTGTTGGTAGGATGGTAGTGTAGTATAGGTGTTGTGAATATGGAGGGGGTGGTGGTGGTGGTGGTGGTGGGGGTGAGGGGTTGTGTAGGGTTGTAGTGTAGGTGTTGTGGGTAGGATGGTAGTGTAGTGTAGGTGTTGTGGGTAGGATGGTAGTGTAGTGTAGGTGTTGTGAATATGGAGGGGGTGGTGGTGGTGGTGGTGGTGGGGGTGAGGGGTTGTGTAGGGTTGTAGTGTAGGTGTTGTGGGTAGGATGGTAGTGTAGTGTAGGTGTTGTGGGTAGGATGGTAGTGTAGTGTAGGTGTTGTGGGTAGGATGGTAGTGTAGTGTAGGTGTCGTGGGTAGGATGGTAGTGTAGTGTAGGTGTCGTGGGTAGGATGGTAGTGTAGTGTAGGTGTTGTGGGTAGGATGGTAGTGTAGTGTAGGTGTTTAAAAGATGGCGGATGGGTATGGCAGGGTGACAATGCAGCTGTGAATAAGGAAATATGTCGACCTCGCCCAGAGGAGCATGTTGGAATGCCGGCCGTCACAATAGCCGGTTGGAAATAGCTGTACTTTCATGAATCACAACATGTGAAATACTTCCGACCCCAGGGTGGCAACATCGCCCACGTGTTGCCGTGGTGATGGCAGTCTGGACCATAAACACAGCTGCCCCACGACTTGACGATTTGATACAGAGTTTGTTTGTTGTTTGTTGTTTAACGTCGCACTCAACAATATTCCAGCTATATGACGGCGGTCTGTGATTAATCGAGTCTGGACCAGACGATCCAGTAATTGACATCAACTTTTATATCTACCACTAACGGGATCGGGTGGTCAGGCTCGCTGACTTGGTTGATGCATATCATCGTATCCCGATTGCGTAGATAGTTGCTCATGATGTCAATCACTGGATTGTCTGGTCCAGACTCGATTATGTACAGACCGGCGTAATATAGCTTGAATATTGCCGAGTGCGGAGTTAAACAAACAAACAAACAAACAAAACAAACAAACAAATAAACAAACAAACAAACATTGTAGGGCACTGACCATATATTATGGAGGTTATGGGGTTATGGAGGTTATGGAGTTCAACTTATTTACAACACCCCAGGAATGAGAATCATAAGAAGTCTCGATTGAATTAAATTATTTTACATTTGAAACAAAGTCTTAATTATGTGCAATACATCTCCGGATCCTGCCTTGCCCTTCTAATCTGACGATTGTCCGTTATTTATATGTTTGCCAAGACACAAGCCGTGCTTCAAAGCCTGGACGTATGTCATCGTTAACGGCTGCCGATCACAGGATAATTGGACACGCGCCCCATTAATGAATCGGCATGTCGACATGTCCGGTGAATGAAATATCGTGCACACTGAGACCGCCTCTGGCAAGACAAGACGTATAGCACCATACTAAATGGCCCAAGAAGTACCACAGCTACAATAATAGCCCTAATAGATTCCAGTTGTGTTCAACACAAGAGATGCTACAAGTGCCCAGATAGACTTGCACAAGTCTCTAAGGAAAAACTTATTAGTTTAAATCCAAATTACTAGATTATAAAAATAATAAGAACAAGTCGTCCCCAAAAGAGACTGGAATCGTTACTGTCCTCCTATTTAGACTTGCATAGGAGGATCAAATTACTACGCATCCATAGCGTATCTTTTAGTACAGCCTTGGAGCAAGGCTAGTGCCCAGGTGGCCACGTATGGCCCGTGTTACATGCACAAGGTGGTAGTGTATGATGGCGCTATTAGAAGGGGCGAATTCTGCTAGTTCCCATGTCAACAGGAAGTGTTGTGGCGTCATCCACTATTAAATACATAACCATGCATATATTTCTAATAAGGACATCCTTAGTGAACACCGCCATCAGACACCTACATGACTAAATACTACATCCTTACTGTGCCGCCGGGTGAACACCGCCATCAGACACCTACATGACTAAATACTACATCCTTACTGTGCCGCCGGGTGAACACTGTCATCAGACACCTACATGAGTAAATACCCCATCCTTACTGTGTTGCCGGATGAACACCGCCATCAGACACCTACATGACTAAATACTACATCCTTACTGTGCCGCCGGGTGAACACCGCCATCAGACACCTACATGACTAAATACTACATCCTTACTGTGCCGCCGGGTGAACACCGCCATCAGACACCTACATGACTAAATACTACATCCTTACTGTGCCGCTGGGTGAACACCGCCATCAGACACCTACATGACTAAATACTACATCCTTACTGTGCCGCCGGGTGAACACCGCCATCAGACACCTACATGACTAAATTCCACATCCTTACTGTGCCGCCGGGTGAACACCGCCATCAGACACCTACATGACTAAATACTACATCCTTACTGTGCCGCCGGGTGAACACCGCCATCAGACACCTACATGACTAAATACTACATCCTTACTGTGCCGCTGGGTGAACACCGCCATCAGACACCTACATGACTAACTACTACATCCTTACTGTGCCGCCGGGTGAACACCGCCATCAGACACCTACATGACTAAATACTACATCCTTACTGTGCCGCCGGGTGAACACCGCCATCAGACACCTACATGACTAAATACTACATCCTTACTGGCCGCCGGAGCAGGATGCGCTAAATGTTTGGCGAACACCTGATAACATCACTATTTGATAACTATAACACATTCTTATGATATAGTCGAACTCGTTCAATGCACCCTGCTTTTATCTGAGATTTCTTGTGATGACGGAAAGGGCTTGTCTACACGCTAGAACCTGCTGCATCTCTCGTGGTGCACCAAAGGCCCGGGGATAGTTATTCAGTGGTGAGGTTCAACACCAAGGGAGGGAAGGGGGTAAACATCAAGACGTACACCAACATGAGCGCACTGGCGAAACAAGCAGGTCGTTTGTGGCAAAGGCAGACATACCCTCTGTAACTTTCTGAGTGATCAGCGGCACACCAGATTACACGAACGCCCCTTTCATAGCACACGACAGACCGTTGACCCGTGACGATGCTTGAAAATATGCAAGCGTCGTGAAAAACGCCATGAGATTTGGGGCGTATTAGACAGCTTGTACAAAGGTATAATAGTCCACAGAGTGGGAGGATCTTCAGGTTATATCTGTCAACAGTACTGGTGTATCTCACGGGAATGTTAAAATAACAATAGCTACATTTTTTTCACTTGTTCAAATTGAAACACGAATCAGTTAAAACACAAAGCTGTGATAGTGAGGTAGTATATCCACTGAGCTAATTAATAAATTTATAAAAGAAACAAGTCAAAGAAGGACATATGTTTTAAATTGAACAAATATTTCATCTAATGTTGGCAGGAGGTAGCGTTTGTTTGACAATAATGTTTCTTTCAACAACAAAGATCAACACTACCGCACGCCCCCTGTTACAGAAGCATACACACAATCACTCACCGTCCACGTGCCATGGGTACTCGTACTGGTAGCAGTCGATGTTCGAACCTCCGACACACTTCACATGACGCCATAATCCAAAGGAACCGAACTGATCCGACGCCCAGTATGGTGCAGCGAAAGACAGGATCTGCAGGGATTCCGCCAACAGGAGCGCGATGCACGCAATGAACGGTATAGCCGCAGCACCAAAAACACTTGCCATTTTTTAAGATATCCGAAAGTCCGGAACAAATGCCAACTCCAAAGCTCACTGAAAAAGTAAGATCCAAGTAAGATCCTGAACTGTCGTCTGCCGCGAACTGTCGTCTGCCTATACCTATCGTCTGCCTCGGGCTACCACGACAGAAACCATTCACAACAGCAGAGGATGGGTCGCATGCTGCGTTTACGGGTAGTCACGTGGTCGGAACTCGACAAGCCAGTTTGTGAAAAGGCCAGTCTTGCCTCGGAAGGAACTTATTAATAGTAATCCTTTCAATCTTGTGTTGGGGTAAATGATTGAGTTGAATTGGCAACAAGAGTGAAAGCTCGCGACAGTTGTGAACAGTTTCGTCTTCTCCTACTGTAGCAATGCGGTGAAGGGGGAAGGGGTGCTGTGAGGAAGTCACCGGCATATTTATACCTCTATGTTCATACTGTGTGAAAGATGTGAGGTAAAATTGGGTTTAACGTCGCTCTCAAGATTGTTAGGGCAACGTGAATGTAGGCGCGCGCGTGCCTGCGTGCGTGGCTGCGTGCGTGGCTGCGTGTTGGTTTGTTGTTTAACGCCGCAGTCGGCAATATTCCAGCTATTCCAGCGGTCCGTAAATAATCGAGTATGGACCAGACAATCCATTGATTAATATCATGAGCATGCATTAACCAAGTCAGCTGGCCTGACCACCCGACCACCTCTTACGACAAGCATAGTCGCCTTTTACGGCAAGCATGGGTTGCTGAAGGTCTACTCTCTCCCGGATCTTCACGGGTCGGCTGCTTGTACCAGTCTTGATTACTGCCGGTTGTATAGTGCTAGCCGGGATACCATGCAGCAATTCAACATGAATACCCCACGCAGACCCAGTTAACTCACTCAGAGCCGACCAGTCCTTGTTTTATCCAGGCAAAGAAATAACAAGTACCATATAACAACATCTCTTTGTAGGACGCTGCCGTGGATCGAACCAACGACCTCCAACTCTCCAGGCAATCGCTCTATCCACTAAACCATATACTGTAAAAGGCATTCTTATACAAAGCTGTTATCATCTCCATAAACAGACACATAACGAGCCACCACTGAACGAGTAACCTGTGTGGTACATCTGTCTCCGGATGGTTAGACGTGTTCGGGACGTGCTTGTAACGAAGCAATCAACATGCATTATGTGAATGTTTTATGTTCAACTTTCGAATAGCTGCGTCACTGTCAGTTTCTGATTGAGGGGCAGGGTAGCCTTGTGGTTAAAGCGGTCGCCCGTTACGCTGAAGACCTGGGTTCGATTCCCCACATGGGTACAATGTGTTAAACCTATGTATTTCTGGTGATATTGTTAGAATTTTGCTAAAAGCGATTGTAAAACCATACTCTCCTTTTCTCATTCTCTACTGCCTCCTTGGCCGCTTGTCAGTCTATAAGGTCGTGTGCGAACTGGCGACGTTAGCATTGCTGCCCAAACGTATTCGCCAAGTAGAAACTGGTCACACGTCCATGTATGTGTATTTTATAGTTTTTGTTAATCTCGGTGAACATTTCATCTTGGCTAAATAATCATGTGCTACCCAGATGTTGCATGATAAGAATAAACAAGTTGAAATAAGCCCGCTCTCTGTTCATCGAAACTCCGACTTCTAAAGTTTCAGGTTTAGTCATGGAGCTTGCAGCGCCTTTTACGTACGCCTCGTAACATCTTGATCCCCAAGGACTACTGGTCATGAACGGGCACATCGTCCGCTGTCTGTTTGTTTGTTTGTTTGTTTGTTTGTTTGTTGTTTAACGGCGCATTCATCACTATTCTAACTATATGACGGTGGTCTGAAAATAATCGAGTCTGAATCGGACAATCCAGTGATTGACATCATGAGCATCGATCTACGCAATTGGGATACGATGACATGCATGAACCAAGTCAGCGAGCCTAACCACCCGATCCCATGAGTTGCCTCTTACCACAAGAACAGTCGCCATTTACGATAAGCATGAGTTGCTGAAGACCTATTCTAACCCGGATGTTCACGGGTAGACACACAACATTTGCGATTGTGTAGAGCCTACACGTATGCCAACCACCCCGTGCCCCTCACTGAGTGATTAACTGAGCTTGTAATATGAACAGTCATACAAAGGCATTGTGATACCAGCTAACTCAAGTAGATCAAAGAATTCTGGCTCAGATACAGTTATATAGTAAGTGGACTCACACGCATATCAAGCAGCATATGTCTGGCGGTAGAGTGGACGTACCGTTACTACCAAACACACTTCCTCCTAATCATCACGAGGACCTTGTGTCCTAGGTAATACCAAGTGCTCAGTCTTCAGGGAAGTATGACGTTTCCAGCATAATTTAAAAATCCACTAAATATATGGTTCAAATGATATCTGTATAATGTTTTAGAACTCTGCAATAAGTCTGTCCGATCCAGCTGATGTACATGTGTTAAGATGAGGATTACTTTCCGTTTTTTCATCCCTCGTAATCGGAGTCTCGAGTATGTCTCGTGATAATCGATATCAGCATCTGCCATATTCTCATCTTTACATCCAGAGAAGAAGTCAACATCACTATCATCATGAGTGGTTAATATCTTTTTAAAAATGAATATACCAGTTTTCGATGCTAATATTATACTTACCGTGTGGCGTAATTCCCACCTTTAAAGAATTGACCAAAAGACTTTTGAATTGTGAATGTATTTCACAAGAAATTCCTGTTTCATTTCATAATATTCAGCTTTCTTTTTTCTACATGTTTCGTTATACTGATTCCCGATCAGGTGATAATCTTCCCATGAAACCAAGTCGTTTTCCTTCTAAATATATTCAAACATCTACATCTTTCCTTTTTTCAATAACTCTCAGCAACTGTAATACCACTGACGATGCGGTTTGTCAATGCAAACGTTTCTCTTCATATCTGATACAGCCATACATAAGGTTTCAGTAATATATTTAACACTAGCATTGACGCGTTTTCAAGCAAATAAGATACTTCATCCGATGACAAATTATATCTAGAGTTATCAGCTTAATCCTAGACCCGTGGTCGATTCATAAATAAATTGATCATTTTCAATCTGTTCAGTTGTATGAAACGTACGTAAATCCATTGCGAGAGGAAAGCGCCTCCGTGGTCTAGTGGTAGAGCGTCCGCCCGGAGAGCGGAAGGTCTGGGGTTCGATTCCCGGCCGCGTCATACCAAAAGACGTTAAAAGATGGAACTTATTGTTACCCTGTCTGGCGCTCAGCATTAAGGACTAAAACAAGGACTGGTCGGCTTGGAGTCAGTATATTGTGTCCGAGTGAGGTATTCATGTTAAACTGCGGCATGGTATCTCAGCGTCCTAGCACTATAAATTGGCATCAGTCCGGATTAGTACAAGCAGCCGTACAAACACACACACGTACATGCACGTCGCTATATGAGTGCAATAATGGACACGACGTTAAACCCCATTTCACCTCACCTCCATTGCGAGAGGAACATGTGAAGACTCAGCTCCTGAGCGCATGCTGAAGCTACTACTTCAACAAATGATGAACATAATAATAATAATCAGCTAGCGCTAGCGCCTTCTTTCCTATAACAGTGAGATCTCAAACACCCGCATCTTCCATTCATTATATGGATGCTAAGAATACTGCACATATCTAAATTCTAAAGACAATTCTGTATTTCTCACCCTGCCTCCGACTGCCGTTGTTCCTGGTTCCACTATATTTGGGTCTGACAGCACTGCCTGTGCAGGACTATCTCTTCTCTCTGTGTCACGTTAAAATATGTCACCGGCAATTTGTCCTCCTTTGAAAAGAAACCCCTTTTATTCGGGTTTTAAGTGCGTATTCTGTTAGGTTCATGTCGTCGCTGTTTACACACGCCTAGAAATTAATGAAGTACCCCCTGGTGTTGCGAACATATCTGTCCAACAAGGTATCATTCGCGTCAAGACTGAGCATGGGGGAGAATTAAATGTCTTGTCTAAGATGAGACTCTTGACTATTGAAAACAGAGATAATGATGCAAATTTTTAATATTTAATTGAAGTCATAATACAGTTAATTGATTCCCACGAAAACTATGAATCTGGGAAGTTCCACGATAATGATGAACGATAATTTCTGTCCAAAAATGTTCATTGTTATCTAACAATGATAATCACAATCCTTAAATACGTAACGAGCGTAGACACCCTGTGCCTGGATGACAGATTCTACCCTTCCCCTCATTCCTCCAGTGAGTCTTCTGATACTATGTTTGTTGTATGAGGCGACTAACGGGATCGGGTGGTCAGACTCGCTGACTTAGATGATGCAATTGCGTGGATCGATGCTCATGATATCAATCACTGGATAGTCTGGCCCAGACTCGGTTTTTATAGAACGCCGTCATGTAGCTGGAATACTGCTGAGTGCGGCGTTAAACAACAAACAAACACACATTTGACTTGGCCGTTTTGAATTTTCCGGTTTGAATTATGGCTGTTTTGACTTGTTCCCGAGTGTATCACCAAACCTGTCCCAGCCCACATTGCGTCACTACGTCTTACTGTCGCGGGTGGAGAGACGGGTGTCGGAACACAAGGTAAGTTGAAGTGTTACACTACAGGGAGACAGAGATATGTAGCATTCTGCAGAACATTAAATAGTTCCTCAAACTGTAGAGGTCCATTGTGTTTCAGAAATAATTTCCCACTGTGTGAAACTGGTCAGATTACTCACATCGAGTGCAGGTAATGTACTCTGACCCAGGTCGAAATGGAGTTACTTTCGGTTTAGATTGCAAGACTATACACGTCAACCAGTGTCGATGATTACTCAACAAAACAGATTCCATTCGGCACTTGATAGTGGGGTGGGTCATGAAAGTTTGACACGGCTAAACACGGCGATCGCACAAAGGTATCACATCTTAATAGAGTTGTGTGGGATACGGAAAAATGACAGTTCTATTTTTTTACTTAAAAAATATCAATTTGACCATTATGTAATGTAATTGTTTTTAGTTTTATGGAAACAAAATGAAAAAAGAAAATATATGGAATAGAGCAGCATGTAATTTTAGAGCCTTCCCATTGTGAAAAGTCTGAAGAGTATCTAGCAAATGTGTAAGTCTGTAAAGTCTTTAAATAAAGTAGCTCTTACTGTTGATTATGTCAACAATTCATGCTGTTTAAATACGATTTGAAAGTACTATGCAGCTAGACTGATGTCATGAGGCCAACATGCTCGAGAACTGCTTGGGTGTATTCTGTAACATGATACTAACCTAATGACCAGTGTTTCTCTCTCCCGATGAAAATATTTTCTGATAAATATTTATATTTTTAAAAAGTCAGTGTCATATTTTGCATTTTAAAAATGAAATTATTTACCGTTAAATTTTCTTTGTATTTGATAGACATTTTCACTAAACAAACATGGGATGTAGTGTGGGGTGCTTCACATTTTTTGCCTAATATTAAACCAATCACTTAAAACTTACAGTATCAGACCCAAACAAGCCTCTGTGCTGTTATGTTTCCACAGCATGTGAGTGGAACAGTCTTCCACTTGGACAAACGGTTTCTCCAACTTTCCACATCTTTAAGCGCCGATTACAGACTCACCTTTTCAAGCTTGCCTTCATTCACTACACTGAAACCCTTCTCGTGCGCTTCGTTCATACACTGCGTGTGGAGTTATGCGCTACATTTAAGTGGAGTATTATTAATAATAATATATGTAATAATTCAATCACAATGTTCACTACATTTTCAACCAATTTTGCAATCGACTATTATTCTGTTAATTGATTCAATTCGATCATTGTATTATTTGTTTTTGTCTAATGAAAGAACAAAATCACTATCGTATTTGACGTAATAAGCGCCCAGCTCAAATAAGCGCCCACGCCGGGATTTGCTCATGTATTGGCAAGTGAACAATCCCAATTAGCACCCCTTCCGATTGATCAATGTACACAAGACTTATTTATTCGCGTATAATACGTACTCGTGTGTTATATGCACCTTCAATTATGGGCAGTTAAATTCTGATAACATATATCTGTCGTACTGACTCGTACATCAACATTTCAGTCTGTCATCATAAACCACGAAATTTATCTGTTTTTTTCCCCAACCAAAAGTGCCCCCTAGTTCTAATTTTGAGAGCACCCTGGGCGCTTATTTCGTCAAATAGGGTAGTTAAAAATTGAAATGAAGAGTCAGAGCTGATACATTATAGAAACTGATATTGAAAGATTAGAATTAATATCAGTGACATCGGTGGATATAAAGTTGTTACTGAAATTAGCAGTGACGGTGATGAGAGTGACTTTGAACTTCTAATTGTATGCGCTGCCATTCGAACAATATCAGGGGCCACAGGTGGCTCTGTTACCCGGGCCGGCGCAATTCGCTGTGAAGACTGAAGAGTTGTGTCCCTTTGCCACACCAGAAACGTAGAGATTGCGGGTTCGAATCCTGGTTCGCCCCGGTTATGTGTCTAGGTTTGTCAGCAGCATGCCAATGTTCGTGGGTTTCACCAAAGTGGTGAACGTCTTGGACATGCGTCACTTCGGGTTTTCCTCCCACATTAAGCTTACACGCCCAGATGTAACTGGAATAATATACACTCCAGCTTGATAACGGTGTAAGAATCTACATCGAAACGTCGCTAAATGCAATAAACAGAAGTTGCTATCAATAAAGTGTTTTCTTTTTTACTCACCAACTTCGAGAATGCCACCCAAACTGTTAACTGATATACAGTTCAAAGCAGCGTGAACCCCAACTCACTAACTCATTAACGCACTACGCGCAGGACGGGCAGTACAGAGGAACCCGCGTTACTTTTAACATGTTCAAGTCACTTGTTCAGTGTTGAATATGGAGATGCATGCATTATGTATTGGAGAAAACACGCTCACGAGGTTTTGGTAGACAGAGCATGCCCTGGGGAGATCCCCAGGGCGTGCTCTGTCTACCAAAACCGAGGGAAAGTGTTTTTCCATACTTATAAACCGAAAAAAGAAACTTAAAACACCATTTATCAACATTTTTATGTTTCGAACATACTTTCTGTGAACCTTAGGAAACGCGCGTAAAATATCTCTTGCTGGCGTACGGATCTTGAAAAGGACATTCTAAAAACCAGAGAAGCTCATCAACACCTCTGTAGCCTCGTGGTACACTCACTGGGCTACGGATATGAAGGTTTCGAGTTCGATCCTCGGGAATATAAAAAAAACCCAAAACATTTGTCATTTGATTTTACATTTCATTACATGTTACAATCTGAACGGAAGTTATATTAATAAAATACGTAGGACATTGCAGTCCGTTTGACTCAAAATGAGAACGATGAATTGCAAAATAACTCGAAATCCAGAAAAGTGTATGAAACATCAATACAGTACTTGACCATGAATACCCTGTACCCAACAACATCTGAATTTTTTTTATTTTAAGACCCATGACGGATGAAGTTCTTTAAGAAACTATCATCTAATTTTGTATAGAAATGTGTACATGACACGTAGGGGGGACAAACCGTGGAAGGCACAGCGCAAGCACGCATGTACTGCAGTTCTGTGGTAGGGGACAGAGGGGCCGTCTCATGATAATTTCAGTCGCAATCTGACTCGCTCATGCCATAGATCTCGTCGTCGGAACTGCTGGTGCCTGCACCGACTGCCACTATTATAGGTTGGACTGTTGCTGGCCGTAGTCCATCTCGTGACCAATAACGTGGCTCTATCTCGTCAACGACTGTGGCCACACAACGCCTCCATGTTTCTACTGTTACCCGACCAAGGGATTCCTTTACGAGTTGTTCAACGTCTCGTAATTTGAACGTTGTGTTCAATCTTCCAACGTCACCCTTGACGATGCCCCATACCAACTCGATTGGATTCAGGTCGCAGTGATAAGGTGGCAGTCGTAAGACAGCGTGACCCTGACCCTTGATGTAACTGTCAACTTTATACACGGGGTCAGGTTTCATAGTTTTGATGATTTCATAGAGCTGTGGTTTCGTCGCTCGAGAAGGAAAGGTAATGTTCCTCCGTTGCAGCCAAGTAACCATGTCTCCTTTACGGTTATTAGAGGTTGGAGTCTTGCTTTCTGGATCCTGCACACTATGATACGGTGCATTGTCCATGACAATGAGAGACTTGGTAGGCAAAGCAGGGACTAATTTATCTTTCACCCACTCCAGAAATACATTGCCGTTCATTTCTGTGTGGTAGTCCCTGTTGTCTTTGGCCTTGGCTCTAAAAACGAGGTCACAGTCTGGGAGAAAACCCTGACTAGCAGAACCAGCATGGAGAACTATGAGTCTTTCACCCTTTCCCACTGGTAACTTTCTACCAGACTCCTTACAGTCACCACTGGGTACCCACTGACTGCTGGCTGTGTGTGACGCATTTACCCATGTCTAATCTAAGAAGATGGGCTCATATCCTTCTTCACGTTTCTGCTTGATGGGACGAAGGTAATGATTTCGGAGACGAACAATGTCAGACCGTTCACACAACACAGACCTATTTTCTCCAGTTATCTTTTTGCATTTGTAACCAAATGTATGCAACAGCTGCCATATTTTGTACTTTGTAACACGTAAATCATGGTCAGTTTCAAGGTGTTTCTTCAAAATTCTGAGGGACAGGTACTTATTTTCTGAGTGCAGTTTGACAATGGCACGTCTGACTTGATCCCTCTGAAAACTGTCTAATTTATCAACCTTGCGTGGTTTTGACATGTTCCCTACCTCCTTGGCCTGACTATTTGTATCTCGTCGACTAACAACATTTTTAAGTTTCTGAGGGGACATACCAAGAGCTTTTGAAGCTCGTTTCAAGAATGTATCAATTGCATAAAAAGGCTTTGCTCTTTCTGCTTCACTTCTAAAGAAATCATACACATTCAACATCAACTGTTTAACATCTGCGGAGTAGCGCATCTTGTCATTGAATGAACACGGTCACTTTGTAGCACGTGCAGACCGTGCTTGCGCTGTTCCTTCCACACATTTCTATACAAAATTACATGATAGTTTCTTAAAGAACTTCATCCGTCATGGGTCTTAAATTAAACAAAATTCAGATATTGTTGGGTATAGAGTATTCATAGTCAAGTACCGTATTGATGTTTCATACCCTTTTCTGGATTTCGAGTTATTTTGCAATTCATCGTTCTCATTTTGAGTCAAACGGACTGTATATAAAATCCCTGGGATATTATATAAAATCCCAGGGACATTACAACGTCCCTGTTTATGGGATTTAACCCGACTGGAAAGTAAAACCTCACAATCGGTCTTAATGCCTATAGAAAGAAGTCTCTTACTTAATAGCGATCCAAATGAATAGGTTTATAAGTTTGGTCACTGCTGTCAATAGCTATATTGTCATTACTATCAGATATTCAGTATTTCCAAAGCTGCACGTCACACAATACAAAATGTATTAATATTCAATTACCAGTCCCTTAAAATACATGAATGCTTTTAAACATCATCTGTTCCTTTGTTTCAGATGGCTGCCGCCAGAAAGCTGGAGAGTCTGAATGAGAACTTCTTGACCTGTTCCATATGTACGGAGGGATACAAAGACCCCTGTACTCTGACCTGTGGACACACCTTCTGTAAGGGCTGCCTGGGGGAATTCCTGAAGACCAGACAAGACGCCATCAGAGCCAAGTCTATCCCGTGTCCCTACTGTCGTCAGATGACCCGAGTTCCCAGGCCTGACAGACCAGTGGAGGAGTGGGTGAAACAGATCAAGCCCAGTTTCATCATACAGGGACTTCTGGACACGTTTGGCTCTGAGAAAGTAACTGATGAAGGTGAGAATCCGTTCAAATGGCAACAGATACTGGCCTCGCAAATTTTGAAATGCTGTACATAGTTTACTTAAGTTAGTTACATAAGTTCATTCATTCATTGGTGTCGTCTGAACTAATGCAAAGAACATTTTCGAATTGAATTATCAAAATATTGCGGACTGATGACCAATTCATGTTATGTTTAACTATTGTAAGCATTCCTGCTTTTGTTCTCAGCATATTATATGTAGTGAACAATGTTGCAGGTGGCAGTGAGAAGCTATGTGCATCCTGTACACAACTGGGAGACAGAACGGAGGCTACTTCACTCTGCCAAGACTGTGACGTCGTTCTATGTACCAGGTGTTCAAATATACACACGTCATTACCAGTGACCCGCCATCATGTCATTCAGGAACTTGGTGAAGATATCAAGGCGACAGGGAAAGGGAAGATTCTTTGTAAGGAGCACAATGAGCTGGTGAATTTCTGCTGTAAAGATTGCAACACATCCATCTGTCAGACGTGCTGTATCATATCCCACAGGAGGTGTGAGTCTGTGGTTACAATGAAGTCGATGATGTCCGAGATGAGGTCTGCCTTGGAAGACAACAAAGACAAGATATGCAGACAGTTAGAGAGAACAAGGCTGGATGTAATGGATCATCAACGACAGACTGAGCGGATCAATCTGCAGAAGGCAACCACAGTGTTAGAGATCAAGCAGGTGACACAGGAAGCCGTGGACGTGATTAAACAGAAGGAGAAACAGCTGCTGGAGAAGCTGAATCAGATGACAGCGAAGCAGTCTGGCCAACTGAGGGGGCGGATAAAGTCAGGGGAAATAAACATGCAGATGTATCAACAACACATAGAGTACATCACCCAGGTGTTGAAGTCTGGGAGTGAAACTGACATTTTTGACATTTACCAGATGTGTCAGTCAGGAACTATCGAGGCAGTGGTGAAGGCAGATGTCAATCTTGAAACCGATGTGCTCGAATCCAAAATCAGATTTGTGAAGCAGTATGACGCACAGAAATTCGACAAGGATATCATACTTGGTAGAATTGAACACTTGACATATGACACTGAGTGTCAGCTTGTCTTACGTGATACGATTGATATCAGAATACATGGTGATAAGGAAACCCCTGATCCAGCTGATGTCACAGTCCTGGTTGTGCACGGCGTAGAGACACTGGTGGTCACCGACTATAATAATAAGAGTTTGAAATCCTTCTACACTAAAAAGGACAAACCACGACACAGTAAACTAGATTTCTCAAGTGCTCCACACTCTGTGACGAGGGTTAGGGACAACAAGGTGGCTGTATCATTCTGGTCACACAATGAGATTGTAATAGTACGGGTGACCCCTGACCTTGTATTACAGTCACGTGTCACAACAAAGAAGAAGTACAGAGGTCTGACAGCCTCGAGTCCTTCAACATTTGCAGCAGGTTGTGAGGATCCTCCTTGTGTTGATATCCTGGATGTATCGGGGAGAGTGATGAGGTCGGTCAGTAGATTCAACTCTGGGAAGAACCTGATATGTAAGCCCTGCTACCTCTGTGCTACAGACAGGGGCGACGTCCTGGTGTCAGATGCTGGCACAGACTCTGTCTACTGTATCACACCAGAGGGAGATGTTGTGTTCACCTACACCCATACAGGAGAGAGGGGACTGGGGGGACCAGTAGGTATCACAACTACCAGCACAGGACACATCCTGGTGGCAGACTACTCGACACACAAGGTGATACTAATGACAGCAGCAGGGGAGTTTGTCAGAGACCTGCTGACGTCACAGGATGAAATAGCGTATCCATATGGCATCCGTCATGATGGTAATACGTTGTATGTGTGCACACAACGTAATCAGATACTGGCGTTTCAGTGGAACTGATAATGGTTCCTGACACTACAGAAAACAGTACATAAATAGTTGCTTTTATCCCTGCTCAAAGTGGATATTTGGTTCATTGAGGTGTGAATCGAAAAAAGATGTGCAAACTGTGTGCATCCGCGTAGCCTGAGTACACAGGCAATCTTTGTAATTAAATTCAACACAAAAACATGTTTGATCATTAACAACTATATAAATCAAAGCTGTCAAATATGACGAAATTGATAAATTATCCCGGCGTAGGAATACATGATATGGCGTGACATGAATTGGCTGATTATTAATTTATACACACGCCAACAACGTCAATCAACGGAGAGTAACGTCAAAGTTCATAGACTCAATGAAGGCAAGAGACAAAGAACTGCAATGGCAATGAATCAGAGCAAATAGAAGGAGAAGAAGGTTGTTTCGAATGACATTCAAACATTAGTTTCCCTAGAATTGGAACCCAGTTTCAACAATGAGAGTTAGAAATGAAACCCGAAATGAGATTGTGCCATGCCATTTTCTTGTGCAATGAAGACGGCAGTATTGTGTCGAACTGTGTGGGCAAGTGAAGGCAGATATGTCACCAGTGTCAATGATATCTTTGTGTTGTGTAGGGCGTGATACACCATGTTGCATTGTATTTAAACTAAGCGTTGAGCATGTCATTTGCCGATTTAAACTGTTTCTCCCGAACAATGACAATGGCCCTGCCGATGTCACTTAAGTGTCTTTTCAAGGCATACCAAGCGGTTTGATGGTGTTTTTGTGATATACTGCAGCCTGAGATTGCAACTTGTTGGCCCTCTGATCTGCATATTTGGGTACAGAATTTACGAAGTTTTCCTTCGAGTTCCTCGGGGTTAGTGATGAGTGTACAGTTGCCCCATCAGTTTCGATCGCCCAATCTTATATATTATATATAACATGTCCCAGCTAGATTTCTGTGTTTTAGCCTACATACAGATCTATGATCACAGATAGTTACGAAAAAATCCTGTATCATGAGGGAGAGTTACATTAACCGGGAAGTCGGGTAGCCTAGTGGTTAAAGCGTTCGCTCGTCACGCCGAAGACCCGTGTTCGATTCCCAACATGGGTACTATGTCGGAAGCCCATTACTGGTGTCCCCCGCCATGATATTGCTGGAATATTGCTAAAAGCGGCGTAAAATCATACACACTCCCTCACTTAAATTAACGATGAATATTAGATATGAAATAGGCCAAATCTACTGAATTCTTTCCAAACGAAATGCATTGGTTTAAATCAGGTTGGATCTGCAGTCGTAGTCAATATCACCGTGTGGTTTTAATTATTTTGTATCATTTGGGAACAAAGGGTTTACCTTGAAACATTTTACCTACGATTTGGTATTTTTCTTTGTAGACGTGGGTTGTCTACAATCACCTAGTTGTTGCAAGTCCATATTCGATAATTTCTTGAATCTAGAGGGTGCTAGTGTAACAGGGGTTAATTTAGTGATATTATATCATGTAAATAAATGTATAATCAATCATTTTAATCTTATTTCAGGTTTGAGTGATCTGGCAGACAATGATTGGTTTATACATATATCAGTTGCAATTAGTTGTCAGTCCGTCTGTCTCTTGCTTTTATATCAACTGCACAGTTCTGTGTCACAGGGCTAGTCACATTTAAGGTATAAGGGTATTTGGGTTGATCTATTTTCATGTCATTGTCTTTGGTGTCGTAGCAAAAGCCCAGGCCTAGCTTCTCGCTTGATTGGTCCTGTTTCAAATATACATGTCATCCGCCATGTTACTGACTAGCCACACTATCACTGCATGAAGATTGTACACCAGCTTGAATATTGTACAACTCAAAGGTTAGTTATTATACATTTTAATTGTTATATAAAACTGTAGATTAAAGTCTAATATAAATCCTTGCATACAATCAATTTAAATATGTTCATGATCAACCGAGTGTAAATATATATACACAATCTGCCATTTAACCCGTATGAATGTGCGTATGGTTTGTTTTCTGTTTAATCTGGTCAATATGCTGTCTTGTAATTATTGTTTTGTAACTGTATACTGTATGATGAAAGAATGATATACCATCGATCCTGTATTGTTGGTAATACTGTAGAATTTCACAGTGGTGGTCACAATTATGTATATATGTTTCAGTAAGCATAACGGTAGCCCGTTTTTATATATATATATATAATCTAGTTGTCAAGAAATACATTTGCTCAATGTATTATCCCTTATATAAGATTCCTGTACATGTTTGCTGTCCGGCGACTGGGTGCGTGGACACACTCCCGTGTCACAGGGTAGGTTTCTGTGTGCAGACTCTATAGTCTGTTTCATGATTATAGCCCTGTTTAGTCTTCATGTCAACAGACATCGTGTTCATCACATATGAATATGTGATCATTTAAAGTCGCTTGTGTGCTGTATTTAATGTGTTAAACGTGTATATGATTATTGATATGCATATTTTTGTTCATCATGATGATATGTTCACCACGTGTGATTTGATTTGATTTATATTGTTTGTTTATTATCATTACACTACCCTGGAATAAACTGATAGTACCTCACAACCCGTAGCCTGTAGCTTATGTGCATAACACCCTAATATTACTATCTCATGGCTGCAACACTAGCATAGAAGTTTTGTTTTGTTACGCCATTGCAGTTTCTTGAGTTGCAGTTTTGGGAGTAGTTGAAGCTGGAATCTCGAGAAAATAGTCTATTTCTTCCAGATCAAATCCTCCAGAAATCTTAATATTAAGATCCGGGACAAAACATGGCATTTTCTCCAGGTAACAACCGAAATACAAACTTTGAATCGCCTAATCAAAACTTCCGTAAATGAAGTCAGTCATATTGTTGCTTTGTAATCACGATGATGCAGACGATTCTTTCTGGACTGAGCATGGTAAATACGGTAACTATGGAAACAAGACAAGACATCATGTGATTTGCATTTTGTTGTTGGTATGTTTGATACCGATAATTAGCACAAGAATGTTACTTGGCCTGATAACTGCTTGATGTGACACGGGGGCAGAAGGGGAATCCCCTCCTCTGTAATTGGGATTCCCAAACATTCAATCGTGATAAAAGTAGTCCGCCTCGATGGACGTGGCTTCATGCTTTACATCCGTTTGGAAATGAATGCCATAACATGTGACCCATTCAACTAATCATGATACGGGAATTACAATGAACACAACGGAAATTTACTTATTATGAAATGATAAAAGGTTACCTGTAAACCTTTCTAATTTGAGTGAAATATCAATGTTGATGGTGTATGTATCGTCACATGCTGTGTTCCTCATGGTTCTGTACTGTACAGCTGAGAGAGAAGCTGGAGGATACAGGGATGTCCCGTGTATTCTGGTGATCGTCCTGGGAATCATGGTACTGTACTGTACAGCTGAGAGAGAAGCTGGAGAATACAGGGATGTCCCGTGTATTCTGGTGAACGTCCTGGGAATCATGGTACTGTACTGTACAGCTGAGAGAGAAGCTGGAGGATACAGGGATGTCCCGTGTATTCTGGTGAACATCCTGGGAATCATGCTACTGTACTGTACAGCTGAGAAAGAAGATGGAGGATACAGGAATGTCCCGTGTATTCTGGTGAACGTCCTGGGAATCATGGTACTGTACTGTACAGCTGAGAGAGAAGCTGGAGGATACAGGGATGTCCCGTGTATTCTGGTGAACGTCCTGGGAATCATGGTACTGTACTGTACAGCTGAGAGAGAAGCTGGAGGATACAGGAATGTCCCGTGTATTCTGGTGAACGCCCTGGGAATCATGGTACTGTACTGTACAGCTGAAAGAGAAGCTGGAGGATCCAGGAATGCCCCGTGTATTCTGGTGAACGTCCTGAGAATCATGGTACTTTACTGTACAGCTGAGAGAGAAGCTGGAGGCTACTGGAATGTCCCGTTTATTCTGGTGAACGTCCTGGGAATCATGGTACTGTACTGTACAGCTGAGAGAGAAGATGGAGGATACAGGGATGTCCCGTGTATTCTGGCGAACGTTCTGGGAATTTGAGATAATCAAGGATAATAAGAGTCATGGTCTGTGTATCAAATATCAACATTGATGCTCAGTAAAAGTGAACAGCAAACTGACTTTCTAAACTCTGCCACTTCTGAATAGTACGATTCATTAATCATTTGACTATCTGTATGTCCAGACACTTAACAACTAGCGGTGACTGATTTTGAGAAATTAACTTACCCCATCCGAATTTACAGAGCATCTATCCAGTTCCAGTTGCTGTACAATGACTTGGTTGTAAACGTAGTCAACATGTATGGAAGAAGCCGACTTGAGTTGTGTTTAGTATTAGACATTCACATAGTGAATGGTAGATTAGGTGCGGAAAACCAAATAGGAGAGTATACTTATGTCAGCCCTAATGGTTGTAGTACCATAGATTATGTTGTATGCTCATCTGACATTTGTTTTATCATATATGTGATTTTGAGGTTGTGCCTCGATGTGACTCACTACATCTACCTGTAACTATGACAACGCTTCTGGTAAAATGCGCTGCGGAAAACAGTCAACATACTGTCTGGCAGAAGATCAAGGGCTTTCAGAATACGAAAAGTAACTATAATGCCAGAGATTCAAAAGAATGGGTGGAATACTTTGAACATTTATTTAATCAACCTACAATTGAAGAAGATAGTGATTTCTTAAACGTCGAAGCCGAACCATTAACAACAGAAAAGCGAGGAAATCTCCCGTGACATCTTGGATGGACCAATCACTAAAGATGAAATCATTGACAGTATTAATCCCTCAAAAACTCTACATCACCTGGTATCGACAATATTCTCCAGAATACCTGAAATTTGCTTTAACTGACATTGTCCAGCGTGTTGAGATAAATTTCAATTGTATCTTTGATAGTGGTGTTTTTCCAAAGATTGTCATACAGGTGTTATTTTCCCGTTACATAAAAAGGCTCAAGATTAGTCAAAGATAACTATAGAGCTATTAGTTTATTGAGTAGTTTGTCTTAAGTGTTCACAGGTATATTAAATACTAGATTAGTTTTTTGGGCAGATACACTCTTCAAAAAACGAAACGCACAGGTAGTATGTAATTCATTGAACCTGACTACACAAAAAATCCGGAATATAAATTGGATATATGTTATTGGAAAATGTTGGTGGCCTGATATTCGACAAACGGTAGCCACAGTCGATTTGCAATGTCTTAAATGGCATTGTTTTCAATTGTTCAAAAATGTCATGAAGGAAAACAGTAAAGCAAAATGCAAGTGCAGGTTATGGCATTCGTTACTCGTGGTAGTGGCTTGAATAGGCAAGCATAAGCCAATAATTTGTCATTCAATTGTCAACATTTTTCAAGTTCGAAAATGCCGAGACAGCATATACTATACCACGAGATCTGTCTTGGTTGTGGTTCAGGGACAGTTGACAGTAATTCACTACATGAATCAAATTTTTCAACCTCACCTTCTTCCAATCATTGACCGCCAGAGGGAGATGTTTTAACAGGACAACGCTCAACCGCACACAGCTAGTGTCACGGTAGATAACCTTCATAATGCCAACTTCAACGAATTGCCCTGGCCGTCGAGATCTCAACCCAATCGAACACCTATGAGAGATCAACTCGATCGACGTGTACGTCGACGTCAGAACACGCCGCAGACACTCCCACAACTGGCCAACGCGTTACAAGCAGAATGGCGCAGAATTCCGCATGACAGAATTCGTACAATTATCCAGTCAGTGCCGAGGAGATACGGAGCCGTGATTGCTGCCCGGGGTGGTCACATGATATACTGAGTTCAGCGCAACCTTGTGGCTTTATGTGACATGACAATGAAACTTTTTCAATGCCTTTGTGTAATGACAAAATGTGACTATCGAGCTCCATAATAGCTTCGATATTTCAGAAGCTTTACCTCAAACTCAAATATCCATTTAAGATAAGGGACTGGTTATTTATTATAGTGGGTTTCAGGTGGTTCTGATCAAAGAACTATGTTTCATGTCCCCTCCCCACCCAATAATAAATACTCTCTCCCTAAATAATGTTCAAATTAATATTGAACAAAATCCCCCTCCCCCCTCTCATTTTACATGGCCGTTCAATTACGTGCTCACGTTCTTTCCCCAATGAACACCCCCGGGTACCCGGATGATAAGAGTCAATCCTGTGTCAAACTGGCCCATTTAACATTCCAACAGCAAGGTCACTGGACCCATTATAAATGACCAGTCCCTAATTACACACCATGTATGGACTCCTGCGATTGAAGACATAGTTATCCCTACAATGCAGACCGGGATGCAATAAGTGGGGTCAATCAGTTGTTCGGCAGGTGGGGATGGTGAATATTTGAAACAGATTTCAAAGTTGGCCTCGCAGATGGAATGTTAAACTGGACACAGGTTTGACTCCTGTCATCTGGGTACCCGGGGGTGTTGGTTGGGGAACGAACGTGAGCACGTAAAAGTGTTAAAAACTGATGACCTTATGTTCTACCACCCTCGTGTATTATATCCAGTGTCCCATATCGCCATTCTAGCATGATCATCTTATAATGGAGAATACAGAATGGATATTCCATGTCTAGACTTTTTAATTAGTGTGTTGTGTAAAAGTGAGACATTGTCTTATTGAAGAGATCATTATAAGTCTATCCCTCAGTGGCGATCATTTAGTCCATCCCTCAGTCGCGATCTGTTATTTAAAGCATGAAACCTAGCATGGTGGTAGTAGACGTAACGAGTATTTCTGGATATTGGACAGTCAAGCTTTTCTTAGATTGAAGCCTTCACGATTAAACACAAGCGTCATCAAATTATATGCAGCCTCTAGATAGAGTTGACCATGTTATAATTAACCATCTATTGTCACAATATGTTGCCGCAACACTTTGCAAAATGTATAAACGTAACATTATCCGGTTACAAGCTCACTACACCCATCTGAAAGCTATCCCACTTAATGTAAGTCGTCCTATTTTGTGTTTGTTTTTGCATATATGTATGATAATTTTTTTACATTTGTATCTGATCTTATATCAGAGCAAATTTTGACACATTAATCAAATAATATTCTGCTTCTTCTGCATATAACAATAGTATGTGATATTCTTTACAGAGTATTTTTACGGCGTATTTCTGGACTCCAACATGGCTGCCAACAAGGTTGAACAATAAACCCTGTGAATGTATATTACATTAGGTTGTGTCTGGCTCTGTGTAAAAAGCATAAACCCTTGTAATGCCTGCCGGTCGATGCGTTTGCCGAGTATTCCTGGAGATGGGACCCTATCACTTTTTTTTCAAAGATGAATACACGTTCTATATGATCTCCAACAAGAGTGGGAAGCAAGCACTACTGAACGTATATTACAAAAGAGTGTTCGTGTAGTGATTATTCAGTACACTTATAATGACATATATTTGAGTTATGATTTTCAATTAATTTCTCGTCCTAAACTATAAGGAGTGTATGTACGTAAAATGTTGAAATGGTCGTGGTGCAATTTAGAAACATTTAAACAATAAAACGCGGGACATTACCGACTGGTCATTTCTGATAGGGGAGTGTGAAATTGAAGCGGATGGGGTTGCTCATGAAGTTATGCTCGAGAATGGTCATATATATTATTGGTAGGGGTAGGGTAAAAAAATGTGGTGAGGTGGGTCAGCAAATTATGAAACAGTCCTGACACCACACTTATCTGGTGTTTCCAAGAATGCCCATCAGAAACATGGCTGCTTTGGCAGCCATATTGTTACCGTAGACCTTAAAATTGGATGCCTAGTATTATCCCGGCTGCTATTTTTAGAAGTTTTAAATGTACCTTTTAATAAAATTTGTTTCATTTTATATCCCAAAGTTTCTGAACCTAACATGTTTTCCGG